AGCACGCACACATTTAGGCTTTCTTTTATGTCTGACTTTTACCATAAAAAACAAAACACACACATGGCATGAAGGCATTCTTCATATCTTTATGTCAAAGAAAGTAATGCAAGGGCTACTTCAGTAAATTACAAATAACCAGGGAAAGTGAAGGGAAAACCTCAGGTAGATGGATCCAGGCCATTTGGAGGTCACAGAGTGTTCCAAGAGGGTGGAACTGGGCTTCCTCACTGGCTGAAGGTTGCAAGATTGGGGATTGTACTGAGTGGAAGGGAGAAGTGGGCGGGGGGGGCGGGAAACGACTTACTCTTGATAGAATCAAGATGACTTTCATTTAGTCAAAAGAACTTAAGATCCTTCCTGTGATAGTTAGCACACTTGTTCTTCATCTGTAGTTGAAGCTTCTTTCCATTTCCAAACTGATTGATTACTCAGTGGATAAATGCTAATTGTTTTCATCATGACTTCTCGTCTCAAAGACATCCTTTTTATCTTTCATCTCTGTGTTGAACCTGGAGCTTGCTTTTACAAATGCCTTTTGGTCTGTCTGTCTGTCTGTCTGTCTGTCTTTCTTTCTTTCTTTCTTTCTTTCTTTCTTTCTTTCTTTCTTTCTTTCTTTCTTTCTTTCTTTCTCTCTTTCTTTCTCTCTTTCTTTCACCTTAAAAATATTGCTTGCACAATATTGCTGTAGCTGCTTAGCAATAAACAAGCAATCCAAGCTGCAATCCTATACCCACTTTCCTCTCATTAAAATCGTGGTTTAAAAAGTGGTTTGCCCTTCCCTTCCTCTGGGAATGCAGCTTGCCTCAGGCCACAGAGGTTGGCTCTTCTGGGATGCACAGCATGGAATTGAACTCCCTTGCCTTTGGATCTGCAGCCAGATACCTAAGTAACTGAGCAATCCAGACACCATTCTGGACTTCTCACTTCTAATCAAGCTCTGATCACATGTGCACAAAGTATCAGGGACCTCTTCTGAATGTATTTATTTATTAACTCCAAATCATTTTTTCCAAAGGGCATATTTAAAACAACATGTTCCATTTTTATTTGCAGGTTAATACATATGTACATGAGCTACAAATAAGCATCTAATGTTAAAATCTCGCTATGTTGTTGGTGTTTTTCTGGTTCTTTCCTCTTAACACCTTCTTGATATTAGTGTTCATCTTAGTTACCACTCAAAGCCCCCTTGGGTATATGGGATTTGCCAGTAGGTTAAATCACTCGCTATTCCAACTTTTGTGAAGAGCAATGAAAAAGCGATGAAAAACACATCTGAGCCAGTGAAATAAGTCAGTGTTTGTTATTGCCATGTGCGATGATTGGGCTTCAGTTCCTCTACAACTATGAATGGAGAAATTGCGCCTTTCCAGCTTTTGTTTTTGTGCTACAGCTCCCATGAACCTCAGCCAGCACTGCTACTTGTGAACAAGTATGGGGAAGGCAGTCCAGCAACTACCAGACGGCCACACATTCCCTATCTCTGGTTTTAACCTAAAATACTTGGTTTGCATATAACAGCATGCCAGACCTTAGCCAAAGTAGGGCCCAGTTCTGGTGTATGTTCCCTCCTATTGTATGGGAGATACAGGGAGGTGAACATAGCACTAGAACACATTTTAGTGCTAAATGAACAAAGTTCTGCATTGCTCCTTAACATATGGAAATAGATCACAGTGAGATTCTCAGACTCTTTTAACACATTGTACATTTCTTCATCTAAAGAAAGAAAAGATATGACATGACTGACAACAGTGGTACCCCGCATAGCGACGTTAATCTGTTCCGGATTAATCGTCGCTATCCGGAAACATCGCAATGCGGGGGGGAAACACCCGCATCGTTTAATGCGTTCCTATGGGGCGAAAACTCACCGTTACGCGAAGATCCTCCATAGCGCCGCCATTTTTGCCTCCTCGGTAAGTGAGGAAATTGCGCAAAAATTGTTGCGGTGGCCATTTTAGGCACCCGGTGGCCATTTTGGAACCGCCCATCAGCTGTTCCGCAAACATCCAATGTGAAGATCGGTAAGCGAAACGCTTACCGATCATCACAATGTGATGTTTAGGCTATTAAAACATCGCAATGCGATCGCATTAGCGATCCCAAAAAATAGATCGCTATGCGGATTCATCATTAAACGGTGCGCTCATTATGCGAGGCACCACTGTATACACATATGCTTTGTCAATTTGTTAATTTTTTTTGAAAGGTTTCCCTGTTCTCTTTTAATGGTCCCCTTTAGAACAGGCAAAATAAAACATGCTCTAGGAGTCAACTTACTGACTCCTATGTCTTTAACCTATTTTACTGTCACACATTTTTGAGATGAATTGGAACAAAGTATCCGAGTTACAGTATCTTATTTTTAACTTCAGTAAATACAAATATAAACTAATGTTCATTTTTATAGGGATAAGGGGCTTGAAATTTTGGCAGGACACAAAAAAGACATCTTTTTAAATGGGTGATATCACAGAAACTCACAAATTATAATGTTCCATTGATAATTGGTGGTTGTTTGTTGATTCTTCTATTATCTGGCCAAAGCTGATAAAAGTGATAAAGGCCTGTAATTGTTAAAATTAAATTATTTGTTTTACTGTATTACAAGGATTTGTTGCAACTTGGAGCTTCTTAATTTTGCTCTCTCTTTTTTTTTGAAAGGATATAATTAGTAAATTGGCTTTCCTACTGAAAGATTTGCCGGGGGGGGGGGGGGGGGGA